TGTCTAACCTGGCATACAACTCATCATATGCTTTCTGTTTGGCCATTGCCACCTCCCTCTTCACTCTATGCTGCAATTTCTTGTAATCCTGTCTACTGTCTTCAGTCCTTTCTACGTCCCACTTCTTTCTAGCTAGCCTCTTCCTCTGAATGCTGTCCTGTACTTCCTCGTTCCACCATGTTTCCTTATCTTCTTTCCTCCTTCCAGATGACACACCTAGCACCTTCCTACCTGTCTCCCTGATCATTTCTGCTGTAGTTTCCCAGTCATCTGGAAGTTCTTCCTGACAACCCAAAGCCTGTCTCAACTTCTGTCTGAATTCCTCTCGACATTCTTTCTTTTTAACTTCCACCATTTGGTCTTCTTTTCTGTCTTTCCTCTCCTCTTCTTCCTGACCACCAGAGTTATCCTACACACCACCATCCGATGCTGTCTGGCTACACTCTCTCCTACCACCACTTTGCAGTCTAATCTCTCTCAGACTGCCTCGTCTACAGAGAATGTAGTCTACCTGCTCTCTACCTTTCCTTGTCATTGTGCCAATGTTAAGAGTCCCTATTCTCAGACCTATACTCCTGCCTTTCCTCTTCTCTCTCTGTCTACAAATCCTTCTACCTCCTCTCCTTCTTCGACCAACAGTAGTCCAATTTCCCCCAGCACCCTGTAGGTCAACAGCACTGGTGGTGGTCGTTGTTAACCCGGGCCTCGACCGATCCAGTGTGGCGTTCACACTGATGATTCACATGTTTAAAATGTTTAAAACTGTTGAAAATACCATTAATATAGAAAATGACCAGCCTTACCCTTTCAAGGTGTTACCTGGAAAGAGGTCATGGTGAGGTTGATGAAGTCCCTGGCGTAGCGACTGCTGCCCTCCACACATTCATCTACTAGCACAGTAAAGACCACCTCATGGATTCCCAGCAGAGGAATCAGTACCAGTGTTGCTCTGGCCAAGCTGAAGGATGTAAACAAAAATATACAGTGGTGCATAGCTGCTTTTTTTCATGAGCAAAACAATAAGCCAGGGAAAGGATTATATGGCAAATGATTCAAAGAACAAAGGGCAAACTCGAGTTTTGTGAATATAAGCAGAGCTTTCCTCCCATGGTGATATTTATGGTCAGGAGGCCAGAGCTTATGGGGGAGACATTTGAAATCGTGCCTTACAGGGGAGTGATTAACATTTAAATGTTACATCATGAACCCACTGTACTGTTTAAAGACATCACTTAGGAAACAACTCTCAAGGTCATTTTGGCTGGCACTTGTATTAAGATACATTTACATCAGTGAGTGATGGCAGGGGAAATACCTATATCTGTAGTCTGTGAATTTCACCTGATCTGCCTTCAGCTTGGACAGCAGCAGCATCAGGATCTTGATGAATATGAAGAAAATGACCTGTAACACAGATCCAAGGTACAATAGAAATGAAAACTGGCATCCTAATGGCTGATCAAACTAAAATTCTATGAAAACATGCCCATCACATGAACTCATGTACCTAAAAAGTAGCAATCAATTACACTTGTCACTACCCCAGTGTCTTCAATATCACATGCACTAATAAGACAGGAACTGTTAAATACTGTATGAAATCAGAATGAAATCTAAATAAAGTCTGGCAATGAGCAACAAGACTCATGAGAACAACGTGATGAATTTGTAACTAACATGAACATCAGGTTCAGTAATATAGTCCTAAGTAGTACTTCACTTACCAGCACTGATAAAGTAATCGGGCCCCGTATTATCCACCAGATCCCCAAGTTCACAATTGACCAGCATCTTAGGAATAAAAGTAAATAAAAGTTTAAAAAGTCAAGTGATGGAGAACATTTTAATTCATTTACTTGATGTGAAATATATAATGTGACACTCACTCTTTGTTTTCATATATAATCTTGACCACAGTCCATGGTGTCACAAACAAGACAGGTGTTCCTAAAGACAGCATGGCATGCTCATTTAAAACAACTAAAATCAACAGAGTATTCTTATAACTTACTATAAATTGTGAATTTATAAATTGATTTGAATTTTCATACAAAAGCTGCCACACACAGAGAAGCTTTGACCAGTTAGTTATAAGATGATTTTCATAAAACTGCTCCAGTGTACAGTATGTAAGTTTTTTTTTGTATGATTATAACATCTTTGATATTGCTCTGATCAAAAATGTATGTTTTTAGAAAGAATTAGTGTGCATGTGTTCATTGTAATGAAACATTTCACCTAACACAACCATTTGGCTCATTTATGTGTTTTAATAGTTTCTGGACAATAATGGAGCCCTGTAGCACAGAAGAATAAGATATACAAGGCCTCAGATAGACACACACAGTGCATGATAGTTGTATCAATACAACCTTAGTTTTGGGCATCTCTGAACAAATGAGAAATTTGGGAACCAGGCTCTCTAATACTTTAGGATGCGTACACCCACACACAAAGATTTCATGCACACCTTACCCCATCCTAGTAGCATATATTTCTTCAGCAGACATCCTTTGGTCATTACAGCAGTGAAGAGCAGTGTGTGTAAGAAAATTGCCTCCACCAAGAGCCAGAAGTAGTTACAGCCCACAAAGTACTCCATGCACACTTTGGAGAATCTGCACATCAGTGCTATCTGTATAGAAATAGGTTAGATGAATTTTGCAAACAATTATTTCTTTTTCAAAGTCCTTTTTGTTCACAGATACTTTAATACTGTATATAAGTTGGCCACAACATGACCATAAATGTAAATAATTAGGCAGGGCCTTGTTACCCCAGAACTGGAATAGGAGTTCCATCCTGGGTCGTCCTTGGGTAGGTTGGAATACATGATGTGCATTATGATTTCCTTAGAAATGACAGCAATGGCTTTCAGGATGAATGACACAAACAGATTCATGTGGATGTAGTTCCTGGTACAGTGGAGCTTCCTGGTAAACAGATACAGGAGCAATTTGAGGAAGGCATTGATCCATTCTTCCTTCCAATTGTAAAAGCATTACTGAGGCCATAGCCACGACCTAAGTAGAAATGACAAATGATCAAGGCAGAGGCAGCAACATGCTAATGCCTCCTGGGTTTTATAATGTTATTAACAATGACTGATTATCTCCACAGACTTGTAAATATACCTTCTTCTCCTAGTGTGCCATTTGCAGTGCTGTGTAACCATGCATGGTATCAGTGTAGTTAAAGCCAGTGAATCGTATTGATCTTCCAGAATGACTAAAACTGCATCATGAAAAGTGAAGGCCCTCCAGATTTACTGTATAACAGCTGCTATAGAATAAGCAGTCGCTGCTTCAGTACTGCTTTCAAGATCCAATTTGAATATATTACAGTGATGTAGTCTTTAAAACACATCCAAAAAATAAAAGAAATTTATAGGGGCTGGATACACATGATACATTTTGGTGAAAATGTGTTTGCTAAAAAACAGCAACAACAAGAACAAACAAAACAAAAACCATGTTTAATCTGAAAAAATAAAAACTATCTTGCTTTCATTCATTATCGAGGTGAATTGAACACTGTAGTATTCTGGTATTGGTTTGCGTAATAGCACGTAGTAACAATGATTCTCTGTCCTTATTGGTTGTTCTGTATGTCAGTCTTAGCATGCCCGATGGGCGTGGGTGTGTGTGTAACTCGCTGTTGAGGAAGTACTCTTACTTATGACTTGTTGCCGACCGCGCTAATAAAGCTCTCTCGAAAATCTGAATCAGCCTGTCCAAAAAGCCTTAATGCCATGCTAACGATATATAGAACACGACAAACACCTTTAACCATTATTACAAATTTTAGCTAGGTCTCCAAGCATCTAACGTACTGCCTAGAAAACAAAGTCTAGGGAGTAATGGAGGTTTATTACAACCTGGGTTTTCAAATTACAACCTCTTACTCCTGTTCAGGGGCAGATATAGACAATTTTGGACAGGGTGGCCAGGCTTTGCAAACATCTATCATGTTTTACATACTTCCTAATTCAACTTTGAGTTACTGTACTTTCTGTAAATGTGCAGGCATATTCATTTTGGTTTTACCACCAAATATAGTGGTTAGGATAATGTTAAAGCCTATATACAATACGTTTTTTTTCTTTCTCAGACCTCAGAAATTACTTTGGTGAGTACAGTGTTATTATGACTGATAACCATGATGGCCAAAGCTATGAAAGTTGCTATTATTTTGAATAATCCTTTATGTCTCCAACTGCCACAAGACCATCAGAGACCTCTCTACCCCTGATACTGACCTCAACATGCCCATCAGGAGAGTAGCCAGTATGAGGGAGGCCAGGGACACGGAATAGCCAATTACAGAGATAAGCCTGAGGACTGTCTGCCGAAGTAGTTCGTCCTCCTGGACAGACACACACACACGTTTATTTTAATTCAACATGGAAACATGCCCATCCCGAGGTTGTAAGTAATGCCACACACACACTAATACAAGAAAATGGATGGATACAAAAAAAAACTCTTGCTATTAATGAAACATGTTCTTGGACATTTACCAAGAAAACTTTTCCTGATGGTTTTTGTATAATGGATATCATAAGTTTTACTAGGGTGGCCAAGACACCGCATATTACCACATATTACCACATATCACCACATACCACCAAACACATGCTAAAACCTTGTATCTGACACCCTTATGCCCACCTTGTCTTTAAAGTAATGGTGCTCCTGACATTCTGAGTCATCCCTCCAGGGCTCCGAGGAGTTCTCCTTCTGTCGCCATCTCCCATTTTCTAAGCATTCTCGGTGTGCCCACCTGCTGCTTTCTGCAGATAATTGAAAAGCACATTGGTCATGAGAATCCTTTTAACCTTTGCTTGTTTTTATGCATTATTATCCAGCCAAGCACAAAACTGGATATGGCTACTTTGCTACCCAGAGAAAGTGATTAATTAGCTTCCTATCCTATACTATATATCATTTAAGAAGGCTCTTCTCACCAGTGTCGGATTTTTTTGGTAGGACTGACAGCACAACATGTGTTTTAAGTACTGAAGTGAAGTGTATCACAACCCTGTATCTTAAGTCTGTCTTGAGATACAGTGATCACTTCACTTGAAATGAATGCAGTGACAGTGAAGGTCTGAATAGCACAAAGGGGAACTGATGTGATAAGGTCGAAGCTACAATAATATTCATTTTGTAAATATTGTTGTATTATATTTTCGAGTTGTCCGTTCGTCCGTCTGTATGTCCAGCCCATTCTTGTGAATGCAATATCTCAGGAACACTGTGAGGGAATTTATTCAAATTTGGCACAAATGTCCACTTGGACTCAGTGATGAACTGATTAGATTTTGGTGGTCAAAGGTCCCATACCCATGAATTTGACTTGTTGGTGGAGGCATACAACCACAAAGTGGTAATTCTAGTTTGTTTGCTTCTTTGTTTGTTTGTTAAACACAACATTACCTTCACTGATCCACGGTAAGTAAGAAGGACATGGGATTGACACATTTCCTGGAGACGAATGGGGCCAGCACGCAAATGTGTCAAATGTTCCTTTGCAGTAGTTTCCTGCAATAAAAAATATTCCTGAGGATTTCACAAAGGTAATACAAAGGTAAATAATACATAAACAAAGGTAATAAATATTAAGGTCATAAACAGTTGGCTCACCAGTTTTTGAGAGTGCACCTGTTGCCAGTGTTCTGCTGCAGTTCTCCCAGTACTCGGTCCGTTTCGCTATCAGACTTTCAAGTACTGATGCTTTTACCTTTGATGTGGAATCAGAAAGAAAAGAAAAGAGAGAAAAGTTGTTGTCATTCCAGTATGATATATGAATGAAATGAGTGTTTTTGGCCTATTTGCCTTTATTAAAAGCCTAATGAGAGACAACTAGAGAGAGGGGGGAAACACAACAGAAGTCCCCTGGCTGAGAATCTAACTGTGATGTTACAGTGGTGGTAACCATTCGGCCACTAACACACCCCTGATTCTGCCAGTAATTTATATTTAAGAGCAGGCCAGTACTGGAGTACAGATAAACAACTATAAATGAGTACTTTTTACAAAATAGTGGCCACTTTATTTATGTAAATATTTTACTTTCTGTCCCTGTCCTAAGATGGATGTGTAGAGTTGGAATACAAAGCTTAAAACTGTTAAAAACTGTAAGTTGCAGAGGCTAACTTAAAGTTGCATCAAAGATTTTGATCATTTTAGAATTAAAAAACTGTAAACACAACACATATGATCACCTTACAAAGCTGGTAAGGTAAGGTAAGGTAAGAGCACGTCTTGATAAAGCTGGTAAGGTAAGGTAAGAGCACGTCTTGAGAAAAATGTATGACTCTTTAGCTGCTAAATGCTAATCACCAGCTTTGTCTGCCTCCTGTTTGGTGCAGGAAAGTAGGATACAATGGGTATATTGCAGATTTTTTTGCAAACAGCTACCTGCTGTCACTGGAAACCAGAGAATGGAGCTGCTATGAAAAACCAAAACAGTGAGCTAAGAAATGCTGTTGGTTCGTTGCTATGAGCGATACTACACATATTCACTGGATTCACTATTAAGAATTAAACATTCCAGTGAGCTGGAGTTTTTGATTTCTCCAGCGTTAGGCCACAGAGAATAAAAACCTCATAATGAGGTTGATGAGAGCAGTGAGAGTGAGCCTAAAGCTGCAGGCTGTGAAACTGAAAATAGCTCAAAAATGTCAAAACATTCCTCAATATACTGAAATAATTTTGTCTGGGTTTGTTCGAAAAGTGATCCATTATTTAAATAAAAATACCAGTTAGTGTTGCTTTAATATTTTAAGTTAACTGATTTCATTACTTTCATTTGTAAAGCCTTTTGTTACATTGTCTTGAGTTGTTAATTAGGCTCAATTTCTTGTCTAATTATGACACAATATATGGTATATGTTACATACACGAGAAAAATATAGTATAAAACAGGTCTCCATCAAAACAAAGGATAAATTGGACCCAAGTATAGTAAACAGCTCCATTTGATGTGTTCGAATCATCATTAGACTGAATTCCTGAAAGCTTAATGAAATCTTTGAATGTGATAACTACACACAGTCTAACTTCAGAATGACAATGTTATGTGTATAACTGAGTGCTCAAAGATGAGTTGATTAAATTACACTGCGTATTCAGCCTCTCGGTGGATGAGCTGTGCAGTGGAGGTTGTAGTAGTAATATTTACCCACTTGGTGGGAGTATATAATCAGGACCAGGCTGTGTCACTGAGGGAATATTTAACTTTTTTTAACTGTATAATCTATAATTACCAGGCAATTTATCAACCTGGCTTTCTGCATTAGTGTAACACACCCCTCTGTTTATTACATACAGTATAATTATATAAAGAGTATGTGAGAATGTGCTGGACTAAAGGTTATTGTATTTGACGGCTCTCGTTAATTAAAGTTCTGACATAAAATATGATTCTCCTCTGATTTGCTGTCTTTAGTGACACAGCTAAACATTTCCTGTATTTGAGAAGCAAACTGCAGACCAAGGCATCTCTGTCAGTTATAAATCAGGGCCGAGGACAGTGGCTTTCCTATTTCGACCAAACACTCCCAATCTTCACACACCGGATAGAAAGCAGCTGAACTCTGCAACCTCTCTGTGTGCCTTTGACAGCTCATCTGCCACCTGTGCCACAAAGATTTCTCATGTGAGCCGGATGACAGAGGAGCTTCAATTCACTAGGACTCATCTTGTCAAGACTCTGGCCAGAGAAGTGGCATTGATAGAAGGAAGACAAGAGCTGCTGTCTCCCTATCTTCCGTTGTCTCGCATGGGACTAAACCTGCTTCAGATCCAGAATCTCAAATCCCTGCATTATATTGTTAAAGATGAAAGTGAATTTGTGCAACAAACTACGTGCTCTATGATCCTGTTCATCTTGTATTTATCTTAAGTGTTTCTCTGCTTTTTTCTTTCATCCCTTGAGAAAAACATCTTTCTCATTTGATTTCCAAAACAGATACCATGTTGCTTTCCAAGCATGTCACCTAACTGATATTTTCAGGCAGTGATTTCATTAGTAGATACTGCAGGGCATGCATATGAGCACTGGGGTCCCCTGTAGCCCACACCCAATACAAAAAAGACTCTTTTAAGATAAAAAAAAAACACCCCATGTTGTATTTTTCATTTCTCTACAGTCAACTGTCAGCAGGGCTTTTCTGTATTTCATGAGAAATATGGCATGCAGTCTTGCCTCATACAGTACATCAGATGGAGGACTCTTGTGGAGTGATGTTTTATTAGTAGAGAAAAAAAGTTTTAAAAAGATTAGAACCCACACACTGATTCATGGATTCAGTGCTCCACAAAATGATTTTTATTCAGGCCAAACCACCACAGCAATAACATTTTGAAGTCTTCATCAGGTATTTAAAAAAGAAAGCAGTAAAATGCCAAAAATAAAAAGAGATGTATTTACCTGGTTGTGGGAGATAACAATGAAAAGGAAGAGCAGGAGTGCGGTCCAGGTCCTACTGTGCCAGGTTAGCATGGTGCTGTCTGTTTACATTGAAAACGGTTCTCAGCTGGTTCCCTCCCTTCATACCTCACCCCAGGTCACCCCAGGCCTCACATTTGTCCTTACTGTAGCTCTCCTTTCCTCACCACTTCAGGTACAATGGAATTCCTCTCAAATAGTTTTAGGTTTATTTAGCGTTGACTGGATCAAGACCATTTTCAAAAACATAATGTATTCCTCTGTGGATTGTGATGCTTCCTGTACAGTAGTTTCTTCATATTTCCTTGTAATTCCTTAAATCTCCTTCATTTTTCCAGACAATTTTCCAAGATTCTTAGCTGCTTTATAGTTCTTGAAACAAACTGATCTTTGATTTGTCAAAAAAGTTTCCTCCTAATGACAGTTGAAGAGTTATAGGTGAAGGAAATCCTTGTCTGTAGAATTTGTCTTCCTGTCCATGAAGTCCTCATAGACACAGTGCAACTGAGAATGCATGTAGATCCTCACCCGCAGATTGCCTCTCCCACCCCGTCCTCCGCTAACCAATCAAGATAAGTTCGGCCACGTAACTGGACTAACTTTGTTGTCCAGGGAAACTGATCACATGCTATCAAAAGCACACAGCCAGTGTATACACCAGCATATATAGTATGTTTAAAACAAATCCATGCATACAGTACAAACACCACCACATACCACCTGTACTACTGTAGACAGAGAGGAAAGACACCCCTCCCTGCTGTTTGGCTGTCTCCACGCAGTAACTGAGCATCTCTCAGCATTTTTGACACTAATGGAGATCTAGTGTACACTAACAGAACTGAAACCAAACACAGAGAGAGCAGAGAGCCGGAGTTGCCTGTACAAGCCTCGTCTCCTGCGTGAAGTCTGTTGCACTATAATTCAAGCAAAACAAAGAATGGGAAGGGTTTTGTTTTTGCTATCAGTCTAACACTAAAAGAAAAATAAATCACAAAATGTGTTAATTTCTTCCTGTTGCTTGCTTTTCTATTAGCTTTTAAAGCAGCTTTGATTGATTTATTTTGGTAGTTGGTGCCATTTGAACAAGTTAAAATAAAAGCAGAATCCACTGCTGGGTTCTATAAAGTTATGGGCACAGCAGGATGACAGACATGCACACACAAAGCTAAATGTTAAATTGACTTAAAAGACTCTACACAGCAGTGCCTCTGTGCAACTTGGAAAAACACTGTGAATTTGCCTTGAAAATCCCTCGTGTGTAAAAAGAAAAACGAGTGAAGAATCAGATCACAGGTTTCACTGTATCACTTCAAAGAAAGCACACAACAAACTCACTGACTGCTTCTGCATGGTGAACAATTTAATTATCTAGTGTTTTTGTGCATTTACAAATATATGAATGTAAAAGTGGTCCAAAGAAAATCACCCAAAAGAGCCCAAAAGAGGACTATCCAACATACAAGACCTACAACTGAGCTATAGGCTTATGTTTCCATCTAATGAAGCTCTGACTCACACTACCAGAGAAATGGGAAAGTGTGCCCAGACCTTTGACTGGTAGTGTATATAACCTTTCCTCACCATTAAAACCATTACGTGGGTTTCAAATGGGCACACTTCAACTCTTTCTCTGAGTCCAGCTTTAAAAGACAATCCCACCATGCCAGCACCCTGAGGCCATGTCTGCTTTAAACTGCTTTACTGCCATTTAAATTTTTTCAAATTGCAATGAAAATTTTTGATATATTTATTTTCCACCTGCGCTGAACCTCATCTTTACTGCCTGGTAGTTTGACACACCATGTGGACATATGGCCCTGCCACAGCTGTGTATTGTCATGCTTATGGAGCTGCAAAAAATTGAATTTCACCGTTCCTTTAATACATCACAGTCACAAATAATGGCATGGCTGGTGCACCGTGAGGTCCTGGAAGATAATAATATTCCATAATTTTTCTCTGTGATGGATTCTGTCACATCTTTACCACCGGGACATTTGAAAGCTGTATCCACGTGTAATAAAAACCAAATTGCAGTTTCACAGTGATTTATAATTGTGGCTATGCTGTTTTCCTTTCAACACCAATGACATGTTGCTTTTATTCTCTGATCATTTCCGTTTCCCCTTATTTCATTGGCAATCCTTAGGATTTAAGATGAAGTTCAAGACATTTATTTATAATCAATAATAATCAGGATAATCACCTTTATTCGGCCAAGTATGTTACACACAAGGAATTTGTACAGAACCGAGGCAGCCATCGGTGGCGTAAACGCCACTCTAACCATTGGGGGCAACTTGGGGGTTCAGTGTCTTGCCCAAGGACACTTTAACATGTGGACTGTAGGCACTGTGGTTCGTACCTCCGACCCTCCAGATTGGGGACGACTGCTCTATCCACTGAACCACAATCACCTCCATAGTGAATATTTTATATATTATAGTGAATATTAGCTGGTGTTTGCTAGACTATGATTGTTTTTGTTGGTGTAGTAGTGGTAAACGTGAGTGTGAGTGGTTGTCTGATCCTATGTGTCTGCCCCGTGACAGACCAGCGTACAGGTATGCACATTTTTGCATCAAGTTTGTTTTTATAAATCCTGATTTTCCCGTGGGAAGCGGTGAACACATGTTACTCGATCAATTTTGTGCATATGTAATGCTTATGAATGAGACCCCAGGTAGACGCAAGTATCAGACCAAGACAGGAATTTTTATTTCTATATTCATTACACCACTCATAAATAACATAAAGATACTGCCTCATAAAAGAAGAATCTGAGATAGCGTAGAAGAAAGGGCAGATGACACGGACCACTGTACTACTGTATGTGTTTTATTATTACAGAAAAATGAGGAGTGGGAGTAAAAATTTCAACCAGCTGCAGAGTGTGAGCTGCAGACAGCAGACACAGCACCGCTCACTTCCCGTGTACAGTAGTTTCACACATTTAATGACTGTAAAAATTTCCCTTTAAAAGCCAGAGGTGGAAAGTAACAAAGTACATTTACTCAAGTAATGTACTTAGGTACTTGAACTCACTACATTTATTTGATAAATGTAGTTACTAGTTACTTTTTTAAAATGAGGTTAATCTAATAACACAGTATAAGCTTAAGACTTATTGATCCTTGGTGTAAAATTCATAAGCTACCCAGCAGTAATTCAGATTGTAAGCATGTAAGGCAGCTAAAATGAGCTCTATGAGTATTTGTACACTGTGGTATTGCTACTTTTACTTAAGTAAACAGACTGAGTGCTTCTTCCACCACTGTTAAAAATATCCTGGAAAAATTCATAGCAGGATATACAGTATCCACATTATGTGAAGCTTAAACCGTGCATACATCTCTGCTACATACATCCATACAGATACAGGGTGAAGCTTGCATTTACCTTTTACAGTATAGATGTATACACTTAAGTTGTGCTATATCCAGATAGTTGACTAGTGGAGAAGCACAAGCAAATCACACTTGGTTTGTTTTATGTTAAACAGAAATTAATTCTCACATGACCATATTTAGTGTTCCTATGATAACTTTAAAATCAAGTTTCCTTTTAAGACCTTTGTGTAGGCAGAGGAGGACTGATAGATTTTTGTGTTGCTATTTCTTCTTTAGACACTTTATGACGACAAAAGTGTTCTCTGTGTGTCATATGCAGCTGAGTCAGGTGCTTCTCAGACAGGAAAGACAGGACATAAAGACTATGGAAAGTTTGTTTGCTCTATATGTAAATTAGTCTCGATGCACGCATTCTCCTCTCGTCGTAGTAACATCAGCCTGTTTACAGTATGTGCTATTTTTAACTTAGAGTGTTCATCAGTCTGGCTAGTGGTGATGCATGTGAAATACTCAAATCCATGAGCTTTCCTCTAGTTTCACTGGGTAAACAGATTGAGGGATGTAATATTTGACTTGATGTACAAGTTATAAGAAAACTCAGAGGCTGGTCAATGTTACATGTACTTTTGAAAATGTCCATGTTGTTTTCCCTGCTATTGGAAATATTGCTATTTCACCAGCCTACTGAAGTATTATTCTCTGTATACACCTGGTGGTAGAGCAGATTAACAAGTCATTTGCAGTGTATGTGAATGCAGAGGTTACACTGTAACATGAGAGAATTTGTGTAAAAGTGACCTTTAGAATAGTTTTCAAATAAAAACAAAGCACAAAGCTTACTAGGGAGCCCTAATACATTGATTTGCGTGGGTTCTCTCTGGGTGCTCCGGCTTCTTTTCACTGTCCAAAGACATGCGGCTGGTGTCTCTACATTGCACCAATAATGCCATGTACTACACAAATCATAATAAAGGTACTACTGCCAATGCAGCAGCATGAAATATCATACTTAGCCTTCAACATTTCATTTGTCCATCAGCCTTAGTGCCTAGCTAAGTGGCCTGCGCACTCTGAAATTGTATAAAATTAAACGGCCTCACCCCTCAAATTCTGGAATTTTACAGCCTGCTTATAAGGCTTATTGCTTGTTGAGAAAACATGCATATCAATGACTGTAAAACTGACATGCCAGCATTAAGTAAACATACAAATGCCACAAAAATAAATGATGTACCCTTTTACTAAACGCATGTACTGAGGAGTGCTAGCGGTAATATGATAAAGGACATTTCAGTTCAGCTGGAGACATTCACTGCACTCCTGGGGTCACTGTCAGATGAAATGTTATCTTATCTAACTTGATTGGCTGCTATTTCCCAGAAAGTGTTTTTTCACCATCCACACAGAAGGGTTAGAAACACATTCATTCAGTTATTGATGAACTTATGGCTCATGAATAAAGGCAGTCGCTCAGGTCATATGAAATGCCACTTACAGTATCTTCTGGCTGCACAGCACTCTGGTCTGGAGGGTGGGGGGTCACTGTTGGTATCAGTGTCTGTTCTACTTGTGTGCAAAAGACAGAAAAGTTATGTTGCAGTTCTTAATAGTGGTACACAATTTTAGATTTTACCTTTAAAGGTCGGGTTATACTGACCTTTAAATAGAAGGTGAAAATGTTCATAAAACTGAAATATAACCCTGTAATAAATTTTGATATAAATTCAGGGAATTTTATTTAAAGTGAAAGTTGAAGGAGGTCAGCCACATCAATCTGCCATCATGGATCTCCTCCCT